CTTGGAAAATCTGAACTGGGTTTTTTTGGGGCCAATGACCATTCTAAAATACCGACGATCATTCCTCGGTCTTTGTGCTGGCGAGCACGTCGATCCACATCTTTTCGTCTTTCGGGCGTCGAATCGCGCTCCCGCCGGTGAGGAAGGACTCGCCTTCTTTGCCGAATGCGAGGAGTTGTTCTTCGCTACCCCAGTCGCCCATGGCCTGCATACGTCGGTTAGCCTTACGTTTCGAATGATGGTTAACGCGGGAGATGAGGGAGGGGGGAGACAAACCATCAGGCCGACTGGCACATTCTCATCTGTATAGCCCATGGGGCAGCTGATGGCGGGGTTGCCCGTGAAGTTCGCTAGATAGACGTATTCCATGGTCCTCAAGCTCATGTCGCCGTCGCTCACGCCGTAGCCGCTGGTGATGTCGCTCGGCTTGCCAATCTTCCACCCGGCACAGGGTGTCGTCGGCGTCAGGATCACCATTCCAGGGTACTCGTGCCACAGCCACGCCAGATGACACATCAGAAGGTTGCGCAATTTCTGAGAGTAGATAAAATCCTGGGCGGTTGCGTGGCCACCAGCGACGTTGAGAAGCAGCTGATTGTGCCACGAGAGCTTCGAGATCTTTTGGGCGGTAATCTGACTGCGGCTCTCGGACAAAATGGTCAACGCGTGGGCCTTCTGTCCCTGTGGGATATAGGGGATCGTGATGTCGACCACTTCGTAGCCGTGAGTTTTGACATAGCCATCGACAGCAGCGTTGAACATGTCCAGGACAACTTTATCCGAACGGTTGACCCAGCTCCGGTCGATTCCCAGATACTTCTTCCCACTCCCTAGACTGTATGGCTCCTTGGTCAGACTATTGGGAAAGCCAGCGCTTCTCATTGCGCCAACATCAGGTTGGGCCATGACTCGGTAGCTGATGGTGAGGTCATCAATGTTGCAAGCCATGGGACCGTAAACGACGACGCTGTCCAGCCAGTCTTTGTCGACTCTGGCTGAAACTCGGCCATGAGTAGTCTTGAGCCCGTAGATACCACAAAACGCAGCCGGCAAGCGAATTGACCCGCCACCATCGACTCCGAGCGCAATTGGGCAAATGCCAGCTGCGACGACAAACGCAGAGCCGCCCGAGCTGCCGCCAGTATAATAACCATTGTTGTGTGGATTCAACGGAGTGCCCCAGGTCTGATTGTTGTTGGAGGTGTCCAGGCCAACCTCATGCATGTTTGTCTTTCCAATGATCACAGCACCCGCCTCCTGCCATTTCTGCACGCACCATGATGTACGATCTTCTTTGTCAGTGAAATCAAGCTTGCTGCCCAGGGTCTTCTTGTATCCTGTCAGATCCACCTCGTCTTTCACGGCCAACGGCACGCCGTCCAACACACTGAGCGGGTTGCCAGCTCGATATCGTTCGGTGGACGCTTTTGCCGCCGCCCGGACCAAGTCGACCTTGGAATCGATAAAGGCAACAGAGTACTGACCAGCAGGTTGGGTATCTCGCCGAATCAGGGGTATCAGGTACTCAATAACGTCCGAAGGGGTGACTTTGCCGGACTTGTACAATTTGTGGTAGTCTGCGCAAGTGTAGTAGTCCGTGTTGGAAGCGCGAGGGCGAGGCAGCGGTAGCTCTGTCAGGCTCGGAACCGGGTCCTGCGAGGTAGTAATGGATCGAGGCACGACTGTCGGATCAAGTCGAATCTCATATTCATCTAGATATTTTGTGTCCTTGAGCTTGTCGAAGCCATTGAGTTTCCAGAAGACGCTCTGAATCCAGTTGGACGACGCGATGCTTCAGAAACGGTCTTAGCCGCAGGGCGCAACAAAGGACAATAAAACAGTGTCACCCATACATCTTGGAAACGGCAGCCAAGGGAAACCCTCGAAGCACAGGATTTGAGCCTGTGTCGTTCTTGTAAGGGACGTCGGGACCCCGACGGATCTGTGGACGAAGGAAGAATGTGTTCGCGTAAACTGCCTGATCTGGCATTTCGACTGCAGCACTTCGGGGGTTCAAGGTTCAAGAAGAGACCTGAGAGAGGAGTAGGTGGTGGCTCGTAGCAAGTTCATGGGAAAAGGAAACAGTAGAAGAAAAAGGGATGTACACATTTGACATGGGTATTGTCCATGCTTCTTCCTTCGCGCAATAGAGCCGGATACGGACACGATTAGTCGGGACTAGGTATCAATCAATTAGGCGGGCTGGCGGGCTTGAGCTGACACACATGCTCCAAAGTGGTAGCAAGGGATGAATGTTGATTGGCTGCAACTCAACCACCAGCCTCGTGGGCAAAGGAGAGGGAATCCGATATCCGAAAATGCAAATCGAACCTCAACAGGATTGTGGTACAATGGCCTCGTTCAAGCCACAGCTTTTTTGAAGTTTGTTGCATTGTCATTGTAGATACTTGCCCATATGATGCTGCTCTTTATTTAGTGATCCATGGTCAACGAGTCGAAAGGGGAAGTAATCAGAACGAACCACGATTATGTATAGAATAGGTCTGCTACTCCTGAGAAGAGATAAAAGTTCCAAACAGGATGTAAGATGGAGGCCGCCTTATTCATTTGACATTAACTAGCCAAGGATGCACCTCGACACCATCGTATCCCCCCAGATTCACAGAGACATGGCCCTTGGTACCACACCCGCCAAGTGATGAGCAACACACAAAAATCAGACGACGAAACCGAGTGACCCACTCTCCAACGCCCAAAGCAAGACCAAAATCACATTCCATATGATTTATTCTCTCAGAATTATTCCTCAACATAGCCCAACTCACAAGAAGTGCAACAAGCGTGTAAACTGAGACCTCACACACACACAACAAAAAAGCTACCACTTCGAGTCCGGGATATGGAACTTCTTACAAAGTTCAATATTCTATCGGGTTTGGCGGGAGGGGCCTTTCCCCCTTGTTGGTCATCGATGGGATCATAATGTATGAGCTCGCTGTTGCCTACCTACCACCTAGGTAGATAGGGTAGCACGAGGTCTCAGACTCATAAATCATGTTCCATCCATGACCAATAACCAGATGGTATAGCTGTAAGATGCCACTGAATTCCTTCATTCCATCTTCAAATGGAATGAGGAATCCACTGGGATCTTGCAGCAGCAAATATCATCATGGTTCCTAGTATATCATATACTGGAAAAAAGGGGGGAAGGTAAGATAGAAGACGCGCCAGACCTAGTATTGAACTTTTTTGCCATTTTATTCGGCACATGCACTATGAAATTTCTCCTAGTCTGTCTTTCAATAACTGCTCACTTAGCCTCCACAAACGCTCGCCCAGCTCCTCATCAGAAGCCTTACTACTTGGATCTGTCACTTTCTTATCAGGCACAATATACTGTCCAGTAATACCTTTCTCCTCAATATCCTGACTTGTCGCTGCATACAGCGCCGACCGACACCCATCCGCAACAGGATCTTTCATGAAAGGTCTGACAAGCGTATGACCGACCACGCCCAGCTTCCCGTACGCTTCTTCAGCTTGAAGTGGTTGATCAGTTGCGACAGCTCCTGGATGAACCGCATTGACATAGATTTTCTGACCTGCTTCGAACCCCAGCTGGCCATTGTCGATCCGGCGCTGGAGAGCCCGCGTGGTCAAGATCTGAGCAAGCTTGGTCCGGTTGTAGAGGATGGTAGGTCCGATGTCCTGGTTGATCTCTGCTTCGTTCTCGAATTGCACGTTGGCGTCCGCACCGCGATGCAGCTCGGACGACTCAAAGACCACGCGAGCTCCTGGAGTATTTTGCAGTCGAGGGAGAAGCTTCATAAGGAGGAGGAACTGTGAAAGGTGATTGACCTGGAAGTGGGAATCGAACTTGTCTTTGGTCTCGTTGTAGACTCCAACGCCCAGTCCGGCATTGAGGACGAGCTACCAGTCATTGAGTCAGTAGGGGTCCATCTCGGCATATTCTTTGATTGACTGCCTCGCAACATACACCGTGGAGCTTGTCCTGCGATCTTGCCAACTCGTTGGCCACCTTCTGCGTGAGCTTGAGATCCTCGAGATCACACTTTACCCAGTGAGCCTTGCTCGCGTCTCCATACTCTTTCAGCTCTTCGAGGGCGGAATGAGCATGATCCTCCTTGTTGGACAGGATAGTGACGTTTTCAGCATGATGCTGCAGAAGATGTGCGGCAATCCCAAAGCCTATCCCGGCGCTCCCTCCGGTGACGATGTAGTTCTGTTGTAAGAAATGTCAACCGGGTCCAAAATCTATTGTTTAGGGAAGATGGGTCTGGGCAATAATCCTAACCTTGCCTGACAAATCAGGAATATCCGTGTCCGGATTGAACGTGTTGGAACCGAGTATAGAAGACATTTTGCGGTGCCGTGGTTTGCTGGTAAGAAGAAGAGTGAGCTTCGTATTCCGAGTGAAGCGACAAGGGACCCTCATTCAGGCGCTGTGTTATGGCTTGAGAGAAGTTCGACAAGGCGTCGTGACCACATCTTGCCGTCATTATTATACTGCCAACCCTGGTAGATGTGGTTCTGGCCAAGGTGAAAAGTCATGATGACGGTGTTAAGTCATGACTTTTGGTTGATGGATACAATATCCGACGACAGATGCACAACAGATCCGGCCCGCCTTCCCGCGCAGGCAGCACCCGTAGCGCGAGGGCCATTTTAGGGAGGAAACTAATCCCCCTCCCCACCCTCGTTCTTCCCTACTGCCTACCTACGTGCCTATCTCGCTACCTAGGCACCCCAGACACTGGTTACATTCGTACAAGGATTAACATATCAACTATTGGCGGTACGGTGCTTCAATTTCAAAAGAGAGAACAAAAATGAGGGGCCTGCTTCCTTAATCCCTCAACATCCCGAGGTCTTCCTAACTCTTTCCGTTCCTTTCACCTTCGGGAACTGTACAAAAGCAGTCATGTCCCACGATCTTCATCCAGATTGGGAGGATCCTGGCACACTCCTTGGCAGACGGAATTCCTCACGGATACTGCTATGGCCATCATCAACAATCACCGTCCGCTTTTCAAGGTTTGCATCTGATCCCTGGGGATCGGATGCTGAACGTGGGTTCGGTATCGGTGGACCCCATAAGGCGGTTGGAACAGAGCCCTCAGGGCGATGACGAGCTGCAGTCGAAGCTGGTGATGGTACATCAGAGGTGCCAGACTCGGGCTGTAGGATCGACCATGTCGATGTAGAGGCTCGGCCTGGTGGAATTACGGTTCCTGGTGCAATTATGGTTCCTGGTGCGTTTGGCTCCCAATGTTAATTTTTTCCCTCTATCAATGACTCAACTGGAACGACTTACAGGAACTCCGGCAACAGGGTTGCCAGCTGTGTCATCTTGAGATCCGTCAGAAACTAGCACATCCGCTGAAGACTCTCCCGATCGAGACTCCCTGGGGTTGCTGGAATTCGAAGGCCTTATATTATCGACTCTGCGGGAAGAACCAGAACTCTTAGATGCCGTCGAGTTGCTGGAGATGACAGACGGGATCCTATGGCGAGTGAGGACCGCTTCCAATTCAGGATTCGATTCGATATGAGACTGTGCCAAATCAAACGACAGCGCGACAAACTCTTTAGCCAGGCGCAGCATATCTGCCTGTTGGGCTTGCATTCGTCTGAGCGTTCTTTCGGTCTTCCTGCAGTTTGACACCATGGTTTGGGTCTGACTTGCATATAGGGAACTGTGACAACGCAATTAGCATCCACCGCTAATCCTTCGAAGCTGATGGAGTCAGTCGACTTACATTTGTTTGTTCAGGTCATCTGGGATCGTTCTATTTTCAGCATCCAGCTGCTCGCGGGATCGAAGAAAGTGGTGGCAAATGACGATTGAAATGAGCAGATTGGCGCTTCCCTTGATGGAGTTGAGTAAAGTGTGAGCTGGTAACCATTCCTCCTTCCGCGTTGACCATTTCCAGCGGGCATACCATTGCTGGATGGCTGGGTACTCCTTGTCTCTTCGCAATGGATCAAGTCCAGCTAAAATGGAGTTAATGCTGGCCAACGCTCTTCTCCCCGATTTGACAATCTGTGACACTATGTTGGTCGTTTTGATTTCTCGGGACAGACCTTCGTCACCCCAGCGCTCGTCTGTGAGGGTTCTGTGGAACTCAGTGAGGAGTATTCTGAATGAGTCAACTTCATCCCGGATGTCCGTGACATCGTCCTTAGCGTATTTAAGGTAGCGAGAGCAGCGGCGAAGCCTCTTGCAAATGTGATCGAACTCTCCCGCTATGGTAAGGACGGCAGACACGGCGCCGACAACCTCCATTGACAAGGTTTCAAAACAGTGACGACCGAAATGCTGAATATCTCGCGAGAGAAGAAAAAGACGATAGGAAAAGGGACGACTTGAGAAGATCCGGGGAAAGTCGATATTCTAACATTGCTCATCCCCCACCAAGTTGAATACCTTTCCTAGAGTCCGAACCGACTCGGTTATTAGCTCTGATATATATCTACCAATCCGGATGCAGGGGCTCATCTGCAGGCCTCCGACCGGTGAATGCAACAGGGATCATGTCGCTTTAGGGGCCACCCGCACTTGTGATGGTATTCCATTGGTGAAAGGTACACTTTGACTGCCGTGACCTCCCTTCAAAGATCGTGGTCATTGGGCGGTTTTAGTCCGGGGCCTAGTTACGCGAGCCCTGACAAATGACAGGGAAACTCATGAAAGTGCAGTGATAGGAAAATGGACAGCCAGCTCACAGCCTCAAAGTCCCCCTCGCCATGGATGCGAAGCCCTCTAGAAGAGATTGCTGTGTGTCAACCCGGCATCTCGAAAAGACCAAGACGGATGAGTGCGCCACTCAAGAGATAAACCAAATAAATCCTCGACCACAAGCCTGTTTGCGGGTTTACACCTCTCTGCCATGGCTTGAACCACTGGCTATCCGCGCTCAGGCGGAGCTGTCGAAAGTTGACACGTGAGGCTGTGCCTCAAAAATTTCGAGCGCACCGTGCTAGCGGGAGGGCAAGACGAGAGAGGCTGTCTCTGGCTTGAAGACTTGAACCATCAAGGGTTCAATTCTGCCGACCCAGTTCACCGTGTCCAGTCGCTTGCCCTCGCTTCCAACGGGAAGAAAGGCTTAGTTCAATGGTGAGAAAGGCCAACGATGAGGAGCGGCCGATGAATATCCGACCCTTTTTTCCTCTACCGCGTTGAGGAGATGGGAAGACAAAATGATTAGCTGCCATGCACACCCGGCTTTTGTACAGGTATGCCTTGTGAGGCTCAATACCGGGCTCACCCTCCCCACCAATGGAGTCTGAGGTCCAGGCAGTTCCAGGTCAGAACTGGCGCTGCGGACTGTAGCTATAGTATGGTGGCTTGCGGGATGAAGCGAAAGTCGGCGCATTTGACGTGATGTTTGTCGGACCCGCATGATACCCAATTGGGGTCCTTCTATACAAATCGTCATTTCCCGCCCGTCGACGTGCCTAAGATCTCGAACCGAGCCTTAGCATAGAGAGAATGAACATGCCTTCTGAGTGGATCAAATTTCAGACCCTCTTCAAGAGGCAATTCTCAAGGCATGTGTAGCCAGTACGCTCTTGGCTGGACTTTCGCTCGGTGGATGAAAGAGGAGGGATGCTTTAAAAGATGTCCAAATCAAGTGTACCATCGCTGAGCCACGCACTGAAGCCAAGTCTCAATGCCACCTTGGATAGGGTCTAGGATAGAATCGTGAGTGGCACCCTTGATGATCTTGGAGCTAAAGCCCACTGTTGACGGCGAAGCCACGCTGGCCCAGCAGTCATCAAAGTGCTTCGAGCCACTCGGGCGAATCATGATGTCCTTTTCGGAATGAAGAGCGTCGATTTGAAGGTTTACTGAGCCGGCCGTGCTATCGTGAAGACGTTTCTCTTGCTCGACGACGGCGTCTGCAATGGTCCGACAATCAAGCCAGTCCTTGCCTTGCACAGTGCCGGTATCTCCAGTGGCAGTGACTGGGTACACGTGCTTTCGCAGAAATAGGATGGCATCGTCCGAGGAGCCCTCTATATCTTCAGCGAACATGTACGTGACGGCTAGCCCCTCCATTTCTGTCAGAACGGCCTTGTCCATGGTATGCTCGCCGTTCTTCTGTTCACCGACCTCGCCAGGCTTGGGGGTGACAACAGTGGCTGCTTTGCTCCAAGGTCCCCTGCGAAATCCAGAGCTGAATGCAAAAGTGCGATTGACCGCTCTTGCGCACGACGAGAACTTGCCAACCGCCTGAAGCGGTAGCATTGCAGCAACCTGCATCAAACGCGCACCGCCGTCTTTTGGGTGCACCCATGGCGAGAGCAAAACGACGTGAGGGTGTTTGGGGTGCAGCAATCCACGATGCGCTAGAAGCGTTGCGAACAAATACGGTGCGCCTCCAGAGTGGGAGGCCAGCGTGACATGTCTGATGCCCAAGTGACTCAACAGAGCAGGAATCGCGGCGACCTGTACCGCCACACGTTGTTCCACGGGGACCCGAGTAGAACCACCGAGGCCTGGCCTGTCCATGGAAATGATGCGGATCTTGAGCCTTCGAGCAATGCTGGCGGAGCGACAGAGCGTGTAGCGCCCACCCAAGAGGCCGCCGATGAAGAAGACGACGCATGGGTCTGGATCGGCATCATCGTCGCTGTCTGCATCGTAACCAAGGTCTGAATAGGTGATTCGCAGATCCCGCTCACCATTGGGAATCGCCGAGGCAGGTAGAGTGAATGATCTGTGTTGGCGTATATCGCATAGTGTCTCGATGGCTCGGTCACGAGCAGCGTCAACCATCATTTGTCGAGTCCAGACAGCAGGATTTCAGGTGATGAAAAGCTGTGTCCCGCCGGCTTCGCAAAGAGAGGAATGTTCTCGAACAAAAGGTACCTACTGTAGGTATACTTGTGGTTGTAGGGGTTTCGTGATGTTGGAATGGTTGTTGCCTGGCATAGAGTTCAAGAGAAGCTACATCGCTAGGTAACTACTTTGGTGCCTTGGCTTTCCTGATATGCCGCTTTTAAAACTCTATTACCTCGTAGTAATTAGAGCCATCACTTCAGGCCCACCCAGCGTGGCCGATCTACTCGGTACAGCCTTGCCGCCAGGGCGAAACATAACGCCAAGCCATATGTTTCGCACCCGGCCAACTCTGAAAGGCAGGGGTGTATCTGACGAGTTGTTCTTTTGTCTGGTTTTATCACTGACGTCACCAGCATTTCCCGTAGGTAAAGTATTCAGCTGTGCCAGCGTATCCAATGAAGGCCGCGAAATCCCCCTTCGACTCCTCTCGAAGTGGGGTAATCGTGCACCTTCACCTGACTGCCTACCTACTTATAACAGCATACATAGGTATTCTTCGACTCTTTTGTGATCGTGACGCCGCATCAAACAGTAGTTCGCCAGCATGGTACCCTCACAGGGATGGCACACCCTCTCCCATTTGATACCTGGGACCCGTTGGATTACTTGAGTCCAGCAGAACTATCTCGTCTCGACGAACGGTTTGACCACGCATTACGAGATGCTCGCTGCCTGGTGTTTTGGACCGGCTTGTCCCCTGAGCTGGCCCAGCGTTGGGCCGTTGAACATGGATTACAGACACTAATCATTGCTATGGGCCCATTATATAGCGACCGCGATGTTGGAGGCGCGAGATACGGCAAGTCTTCTAATGCGTGGTCCAAGTATATGAAAGGAGCTTCAGGTCGATTTGCAGAACATACAGGTCGCGGTGGCCGACAAGCAATTGTTTTGACCAATCCACCACCAGACATTTACAGCCGGAGAGTGTGGTCCAACTATCGATGCTTAGAAGAACCGATCTTGAAAGGAGCCTTTGGGGGAGCAGGGGCCGTCCAGATCTGCTATGTCCACCCAACAATCAAGGGTGCAGTCGCTTTTCAATATCAGATCTGGCCCCTCAATAAATCAGACGAGTGGGACACGTTCTTCAAATCTCTTCTGCCTCATGATGGCGATGTTAAATTGGCGAAAAGTAAAACGATTGTTGGGATGAGTACGACACAAGAATCTCTGGCGCAAAACCAGCAAGGTATATTGCCACTGCCAAGTGAAAAGCAAGCGAAAGCCCTGGAGAAAGAGGCTCGACGAAAGAAGGCGGAACTAGAGCTACAGCAGGCTCGAGAAAGGAAAGAGGCTCGACGAAAGATGGCGGATCTAGAGCTACAGCAGGCTCGAGAAAGGAAAGAAGCGAATCGAAAGCGAGCGGAGGAGGCCCAGGCGAAGAAGGAAGCCCAGGCGAAGAAGGAAGCCCAGGCGAAGAAGGAAGCCCAGGCGAAGAAGGAAGCCCAGGCGAAGAAGGAAGCCCAGGCGAAAAAGGAAGCCCAGGCGCAGAAGGAAGCCGAGGCGAAGAAGGAAGCGCAGGCGAAGAAGGAAGCCCAGGCGAAGAAGGAAGCCAAGGAGAAGAAGGAAGCCCAGGCAAGAAAAGAGGACCGAGGACGAAGAACAGCGCCAGAGCGACGACAAGCCAAAGCAAGAAA